GACCCCCCTCTATCAACGCCACTGGTGTTAACCAAGATACACTCCATTAATAATCCCTTTGATTTCTTGATATCACATAATTTCCGATGATTCAGCGATGCTCTTAATCCTCCCAGAGAACCAAGACGGACTACGAATTCCTCGTCAGCGCAGAATTGTCTGACCAGCACCGGAATGACCAGCTGGAGAAGCTAGACAGGGAAATCACGCTGTTTAATTATGAAGAAGACGATGGTATGTCGGCTATGCATTGTTGTTGGCTCTGGACGGGTTGCTTTTGGGAAGAAGTGATTGTAGATTCTTGTTTTAGATTATTGAAGTTTTACGGTGATGGGATTTGGACATTAGTAATATTATCCTTCTTTTTTTATGGGTTGAATGTGTTGAAAATTAGAATCTGTTTTTGTTTATATTCTGTATTGTTTTATTGTGCTGAAAGATGTGACAGATACGATTTCTTTTTCTTTCCCTTCTTATAGAGATCTTAATGATGATAGCATGTTTTGTGTATTATGGAAATAGTTATTAGTTCATGTAGTTCTATATTAAAAAAACAAAGTTTTGTAGTGTAAAAAAAGTAATAATAACTAAATCGGGAATCCTTGTTTTATTCTTATTGTGAAATCAACAAAGAAATATCATGTACAAAATTATGTTTTTGCAAGTTAGCGTGATTGCTATAGGAATGTAGTTTTTACAATGACACCCAATAATGTGACTTAGTTGTTTAAAGTATTTCTCATAGTCATTTTTAACCCTAAAAATGTTCTCTATGACTTCAGTTCCAGTCCCCAAGATACAAGTTCCAGATGTTGAACAAAGACAGATTGAGTTGCATCCACCGGGAATAGTGTTCTTTTCAACCGATCGCTGTCGCCTTTACACAGAAGGTAGGGAGGGAAGGCAGTCAGTTGTAGACTCTTGTGTGTCTCTGACCGATGATTTTTACTTTTTATCTTTTTTTCCAATTAGATTGTTTTGAATAATGTATACCAGATATGAGCATATATATTGTAGTATATTAGTCTACACGATTCTTGCATAGAATCATGTGCTTTGTTATAGAATTTTGTGGTTTGAAGTCCTTAATTTTCTCGGCCAAGGAGTTCAAAAGTAACGGATAATTTTTAATAATTTTTGCAGACACATTGTTGTGGCCGTTTGCCGATTCCTCTTCAAATCCCTTAGGGAGTCTTTCTCCTGATAAGGTGAAGGTGTATATCAAGGAGGGACTTTTTCAGGTGAGAGTCAGCTGTTTTGTGTCAGGTATTTTCTCTCTCTCTCTCTCTCTCTCTCTCTCTCTCTCTCTCTCTCTCTCTCTCTCTCTCTCTCTCTCTCTCTCTCTCTCTCTCTCTCTCTCTCTCTCTCTCTCTTTCTCTCTCTCTCTCTTTTTCTCTCTCTTTCTCTCTTTTTCTCTCTCTTTCTCTCTCTCTTTTTTAAAAAAATATTATTTCCTCATTTCATTTCTGTTAGTTGATGCTGTTTCTATTCTTGAACCAGTCAGATTTGGATTATTCATTTTGATGAAAATAGTTTTTCATCCCTCTCTCATCTGGTGTCCTATTTTTCCATCACTTTTAAATTTTGATTTACATTCAGAAGGTCAATACTCAAGACTGTGAGTGTAGTTGTAGTATCACAGAATGAGACTCATTATATGTTACGTGCAGAGAGTATCTTTTAAGAAACAATTTTATTAAGAGAAATATAAGATGCTTTATATCATTCTCTTTATCTTTCTGTTTCCCTTCAGGACGAAACCAATTTAGAACAGGGCATTAAAATCTATGTTTAATAAATATTTGGATATCCTGTTTGATATAATATTCATGGACATGGATGGTCAGTTTAATCTAATGACAATGGATGGCATCAATACATGTAAAGGTGAGGATTGGCCTAAATGTTAGGTGGCACCCATACATGCCGTGATAATGGGGCTTCTTTTTGTTCTGCTCTCCATAGGCATGGAGGTTAGGTCTTCAGTGGCACTAATTCTCAAGCAGTTGTCCAGGGCTTGTCCCACCTGTTTGCTAATGCTTTTATTGACAAATGATAATCAGGAGACAAATAGGGAAAAAATGATTGTCCCTGCACATTTTTTATCTCGTGTTGCCAACCTTGATATTATTCCCAGCATAATGGCAAATGCATTTCATTTATTTTCCATTGAGTTAACCCATTGGAACCAGGTGCTTCACTCCCATTACATGGCCCAAAATACAGGCATTAGGCTTACTTAATCAGGCACTCTGAAGGGTGCACAGCTTGTAGGCTAGGTGCACACAAACATGCGTGTGTGGTTACAAGACTGCATTCCTCCCGTCTGCAATATTCTTTTCTCTTTTTCTGCATGAGCTTTTTAGCTTTTTTGCAATTTTCCAATGTCCATATTTGTCATTTGGTTGGCTTTATCCTGGGGGTAACAGACTGTTTTCCTTTCACAGACTGCATATCATCTCCAGTTCATAATTCAGTGTAAGAATAATAACAGTATGTAAGATTTTGTCATTCATGTAATTTTTTTTCTTTCTTTTTTTTTCTTCATAATATTCAATTTTCTGTAATACAACCTGCACCGCCAGTAAAAGCAGCCAGGTATAGGATCCTAAGCATGGGAATAGCACCCTCCCAGGAGCCAGCACTTTTATCACATCACCCCGGCCTTCAGCCAAAATGCTCACGACAGCAAGTTGACGCTACCAGTCCCTTAAGCCAAATTTTTTCATGATGTGTTGGTCACGTCATCTGGATCATAGGGGTTAAGATTGCTTTTTATAATTTTATGTATGCAGACTATGAAATTGATATCCATTAATATTCCTTTCAGTGGTACATTTCATTAATGCCCCATATCTTTCCCAGCAAGTATAGTACATACCCTTTTTTTCCATCCCATTTCAGAGAGTATATTCATCAAAAGGCACAACCAAACTTATGATGAAGTACTTGTTCCACCTCTGCTGTTGCACTACAGACGTGGAGCTGCTCTACCCAACCTACAACACTCTTTGTTACATAGCGGAGAACAATGAATGCCACTTGAACATTTGCCCGGAACTTTATTTGGCATTAGCTAATCTAGGTAAACAAAGGTTTAGTGGTACATTTCATTGATGTCCCAAAGGCTTAGTACTGATAGGCATTGGTTCCATACTCATTTGCATTTTGTTTAGGAAGTAACTGAAACAAGCCACATCATATGCATCATATGGATACTTACATATGCATACCAATTATAAGACAGTATTCACATTTGGAATTTCTTTTGTCAGTTGATATTTCACCCTCACAAGGGCTTTCATATTTTAAGAAACTAATTTCTTTGGAGGGTAAAATCACTCTCATTGATAAGATATGACAATAATTCAAGTGGGAGGTTTGACCTGTAAAATAGAAATTTAGTATTTGTCTGCAAAAAGATGGAGATACTGTGAATCTATAATAAAAAAAGAGAGAGAGAGAGAGAGAGAGAGAGAGAGAGAGAGAGAGAGAGAGAGAGAGAGAGAGAGAGAGAGAGAGAGAGAGAGAGAGAGAGAGAGAGAGACCGAGAGAGAGAGAGAGAGACCGAGAGAGAGAGAGAGAGAGAGAGAGAGAGAGAGAGAGAGAGAGAGAGAGAGAGAGACCGAGAGAGAGAGAGAGACCGAGAGAAAGAGAGACCGAGAGAAAGAGAGACCGAGAGAGAGAGAGACCGAGAGAGAGGGAGAGAGAGAGAGGGAGAGAGAGAGAGGGAGAGAGAGAGAGGGAGAGAGAGAGAGAGGGAGAGAGAGAGAGAGAGAGAGAGAGAGAGAGGGAGAGGGAGAGGGAGAGGGAGAGGGAGAGGGAGAGGGAGAGAGGGAGAGAGAGAGAGAGAGAGAGAGAGAGAGAGAGAGAGAGAGACAGAGACAGAGACAGAGAGAGAGAGACAGAGACAGAGACAGAGACAGAGACAGAGACAGAGAGACAGACAGTATTCACATTAATGCATCTAAGAACATAAGGAGACATAGTTTTAATGTCAACTTCAACCAATGATATGATATTTGTGTCCTCTTGTATTCTAGGAGCCGACATGAAAAAGTATGGCAAGGACCCCTCCCATATAAAATCGCCAGTGCTGCCTTCTTTTCCCGCAGTCGACCCTCCTGAACAGCCTGTCTCGACGAAAAAGAATTTAGCTCTGGTATGTTGGTATAGTAAGCTTAGTCGTATGGTTGTTTGAGTGGTTGATTTTTTTTTTTTTTCTTTTATCTTTCTTTTGTGTGTGTGTGTGTGTGTGTGTGTGTGTGTGTGTGTGTGTGTGTGTGTGTGTGTGTGTGTGTGTGAAAGAGAGTAAAGTATGAGTATGTGTGTATAAGTAGTCTGACACATTTGCACCTACCATGATCTTAAATGATTAATGTCATTTTATGGATTTATCACAGTTGCTGTAGCTATCATTTATTACTATAATTATTACCCCTATAGAAAACTGAAATTCCAAAAGCACACTCCAAAGAATTAAAACCACTGCCTGACCCACTCCCACTCTATGCAAAACGTGCCACTCTTAACACCCCCAGATGCTACAGTTCCTGGGAGTGTTGTTAACCCACAGCAGGAAGTGCAGCGAGGACGACCTAGACGAGCTTGTCAAAATATTCGTGGCTGTCGGTCTAGATCCGACTGTTATCAATACCGGGTTAGACTTGCAGGTTGCTACTTGTATTAGTCGCACCCTCGGCCTGTACCCAACGCAGCAAGTATTTTTTCAGGTAACGTTTTTGTGGTTATCGTTTCTGTTTCCTTTGTTTTATTTTATGTAATTGTCATCATCATCATCATTATTTTTGTTGTTATTATTATCATTCACATAAATATTATTATTGTACGTACATATGTATGTATGTATATATATATGTATATAATTGAATATATATTCATATGTATGTATTTACTCCCTTTTCAGAGAGTTCAAGGCCTAGTAGAAGATATAGGCCTAGTAGAAGATATAATCACTTACTGTGATCGTAACCATCACACAGTATCTCATGTTTGTACCATGTATATTCAGCCAACGTGCCTAGGACAAATATTGCGCAAATCCATTGCTTTTCGGCAAGTAGAGCTCTCACTCCAAGCCAAGGAAAAGAACAATTTAGATCTAGTGGAAGTAAGTTGTGCTTTTCATAAATATACTAACTTTACTCATGCAAAATATGGTTTCATTAAAAGCTATCACACAGAGAATATTGCAAGTGTTATATAGGTCTTCAATTGACTTTCCAAGATAGACGATGTGGTGGATCTCATCGAAAGCCAGCTGGAAGTTTTGAGTGCGGAAGAGGATGGATACCTACTGCACTCTGTCATGAAGCTCCTGGTCTGCTGCGTAGGGGATGGGCCCTTCACCCCCACGCAGAAGGTAATTTCTAGTGCTATAGAAGTTGGGGAAAAGAAGGTTATTAATCTTCTGCGGTGTTTTGTAGGTGAAAGGGAATGGGGGTATGAGGGATTAGATCAATTTACTATCAGTTTAAGCTGGCAGGACTTCAAGACCATAGTGATTTTCAGACCTAGAGAGAAAACTAACTGAAATTCATAATGTACAACAGGTGTCAACAAACCGTTGTATCTGTTCAGTATACTCTAGTGTTTCTGTCCATGGTTGGCAAGGCATTAAGTTTATGTACATTTACGGTATTGTAGGTCTAGAGAAAAATCTATTTAATTTGTTAATTTCAACAGGTTTCATTTTGTAAAAGTATTTGTGAGTGATTAGATCAGTATAGTATGTATATGCATTCAGTATAAACTTTGTATCTGTTCATTATACTTCATATCTATTCAGTATACTGTGTGTATCTGTTCAGATATACTCGGTGCATCTGTTCAAGCTGGGAAGGAACCATCGTGCCTTTTTCCATTTCAGAAATCACTGAGACACATGTGCGATCTCCTTAACCCAGTCATCATCAGTAAAAGGGTCAAGGTAGACGACATGTACTCGAGCCTCTTCCGTTTCTACTCAAGAAAGGTGATTGATAAATGGAAGTGCCAGGCTGTAAGTAAGAAGCAGAGAACTTTGCCCTTTTTTAAAATAAATTTGTATTGGTATTATTTAGTTGAATCGGTTCATTGGAAGGAAGACAGTCATAAGAGAGTCTATTTTTTGGAATTCTGTATACTTTTTGTCTGCAGTATTTTAGTTTTTGATTTTATGACAGCTTATAAAAGTTTGTTAATTTATATGTAAACATGGTTAAACTTAATCACCTACTAAGCTTGTGAATCTTCTCTGGTGATTTTCAGAAATATCTGTGGTATCATCAATGAATATTACTATTTTCTGAAAATTTTTACACCATTTTCTTTCTCTTTTTCTCTCTTTTTATAATCATCTTCCTTCTCCACCAAGCAGGGCACAACAGGATGACAGCAAACACTCCATGAGATGCAAACAAGTTCAGTAAGCAGGGAAGAAATAGACCCGATATATCCCGGTAGCAGAGGTCGCGAGAGGAGGAGGAGTGTTTTCACTGGAGTACCACAGCGAAAGGGATTTCTTTTCCTTCTTGCTTTCTGAACGATTTTTTTGGGGGGGGGAAAGATGTCACAGCGAGGTTGAAATACGGAAAGAGTTGTAGATTACGACTACCTTGACCCTGTAGATGTTTTATGCAGAAGTGTATTTTTTTTTCTTTCTTTTCTTTTCTTTTGTTTATCTCTTTTTGATAAAACTAATATCTGCTATATGCTGTCAGAAACAAAATGTGTGTGTGTGTATTTGTGTGTGTGTGTGTGTGTGTGTGTGTGTGTGTGTGTGTATATATATGTTATTATTACACTAGAATTGTAACTTATATGCCCTTTCCTTCTGCTTCATAAAATATCCAGTGCGTTTGGTGTTGTATTCTTTGCTAAGAATGTATTGCTCAAATAGTATTTATCCCTCTGTATTAGAATTTGTATTGTAGGGGAAAGACTAGTGTTCTACCCTTATAGTGTGTAACCACAGTGTAAAAGAGTACCTTAATTCTGTGATATAGCTTAATGGTTTGTCAGTTGAGTCACTCGCTTATTCTATTTTATATGGAAGAAAAATGCTGCGTCATGTTTGTCATTTCATTATTTACTCTTCATTATGTGATTTTCACCAGGTATTGTTGGGATGGAAGTACCTATGTTTGTGTGCTTGCATTTATGCGAGCACAGAAGCATTAACACAAACATTCATTCCTTCTACCTCTTTTTTTTTCTCTCTCTCTCTCCTTTTCTTATTATCTCTTTCTCCTTTTTCTTCTCTCCCTCACTTTCTTTCTTTCTATCTCTTTTGTCTTTCTTTTTCTCTCCCACTCTTTCTTTCTTGCTCTATTTCATCCTCTCTTTCCCTCTCTCTCTCTCTCTCACTCTCATTCTCTCTCTCTCTCTCTCTCTCTCTCTCTCTCTCTCTCTCTCTCTCTCTCTCTCTCTCTCTCTCTCTCTCTCTCTCTCTCTCTCTCTCTCTCTCATTCTTTCTCTCTCACTCATTCTTTCTCCCTCCCTCTCATTTTCTCTCTTTCTCTCTCCCTCTCTTTCTTTCTTTCATTCTCTCCCTCCCTTCCTTTCTGTCTTTATCTCTCTCTCTCTCTCTCTCTCTCTCTCTCTCTCTCTCTCTCTCTCTTTCTCTCTCTTTCTCTCTCTTTCTCTCACTCTCATTCTCTCTCACTCTCGTTCTCTCTCTCTCTCTTTTTCTCTCTCTCTCTCTCTCTCTCTCTCTCATCTAGCAATCTTGCTGACCTGCGTTCAAATCCCTCACCGCCAGTGGATGGTAACCCCAGCCATTCCTTGAACACAGAGGGTAATTTAGAAGCAAATTGAAACAGAGAGTCGGTCACACCAAGAATATCCATTGTAACAAATGGAATAAACCAAATTTTTATTATTATTATCATGATTATTATTTATTATTGATTGCATTATATATGATTAATAAATGTAAGATATGGAACAAAACAGAAGAGTTTTTTTAATAGAGTGTTAAGTGTGTATGTAATTTATGTATACAACTTATTTTGTATATCTGAAAATAATTTATAGTTAGGTTTTTAAGGTTTGTAGAACATATAAAGGTTTTATTCAAGATACAAGCATAAGTGGTTTGTCTGTAAATCCCATATATGGTATGTTTATAGTGTATACTTTGCATTTTTAGATATTAGGTTATAATTATTTTGAATTCTCATATAATCTTTTGTTAAGTGGAAGAATTTGAGTTTAATATTTGATATCAGACAGTCATAAAAAACATCCATATTTACTTGATTCATCTCGGTTTAAAAACCAAGATGAAACTACAATTGTTGTCCAAGGCAATGCAAAACACACGGAATAGTAATGGAAAGCCGTGTAGGATAGTTGAGAAAAGTACAGAACGCAGGAAACTAACGATATTGCGGAGGGCTGTACGTCTGACCGCCCCGTCCATGCCGTGGGTCACTGTGCTGGCGGAAGTAGTCCCGGCGGCGATCACCCTCGTAGTACCGTTCTGGTGAGTCGTCGTGAGCACCACGGTCGTACCCCGATGGCCTGCGGTAGTAGTCCTCGTCGTATCTCGATTCCATAGGATGCCTCCCCCCTGGATATTCATCGTCGTGGTCCTCTGGCCCGTGGTCGCGGTTGTATCTCCAGTCATCGTCGGGATAATGCGGCCTCGGGTCGTCTTCATAATAGGGGTCGTGGTGTCGGTCGTGAGGCCCATGTCCTCGACGACCTGGCTTGTAATCCTCGGGATAGGGAGATCGAGGAGGACTTTCGTCCAAATCGTAGTCGGGACTAGGCTCTCTGTTAGGGCGTCTTTCGACCTCCCTGTCCTCACTGAAGCTGTGTCGAGGAGACCTCCCTCTCCTGACGTGCTGTTCCCCAGGCCTGTGTCGGAGGGGCGGTCGCTCGTCCTCCTCCTCGGTGAACGACGACCTGCGAGGCGGTCTCCCCGCGGCCGTCCAGGGGGAGCTCCTTCGGTCGAAATTGCCATAAGCAGGAGTAGGGGTCACCGGCAGGGAACTCCGCCTCCCCACGCCTCTGTCCTTCACCATGAGGCCGGGCCTGAGGGCGAACTGGAGCATGGACTCTGTGATGGCGTCGACGCCCGGCGAGTCCTCCTCAGAGCCGTCAGATTCCTGTCTTTCTCTCAGTCGAGCGGCATTTTCCTCCTTTTCCTCCCGACCCCCCCTTTTAGCCGCGGCATCGTCGTGGGCGTCGGAATGGGCTTTGGGACGCCGCTCCTCCGGGTCGGGAGGAGGCCTCAGCTTGTTCTGCTTCGCCTCCCGCTGCGCCTGCTCCTCCCTCTGCCTGCGGATGACGTCGCTCACGTTGATCCACTTCTCCTCGGTGGGGAGCTCGTCGAAGCGCATCGGGATGTCCTCGTTCTTCGTCCACGCCTTCTGCCTCCCCTGCTCCTCCTCCTCATCTTCGTCTGTTCCGTCCTCAGCGCGGGCACTGACTGGGGCAATCTGTCTGGGCCGAGGCTTGTCCTCTGTCACGTCGGCGACGCCCACCCAGCCCTTGTTGGCCTGGTCGAAGGGGTCCGGCCCGCCCATCACGTACGAGAAGCGGCGCCCCTCTGCGCTCGGCTGCTGGGGCGCGGCGTCGCTCATGGCTGCTCCTGCCGGCGGGACAGACGAGGAAATTCACTCTTACGACGTGTGTTATTGCCTGGGTTGAAAGGCAGTGGAAATGTTTTTTTTATTAATCGGCGAAAAACTAATTTAGTTTCACATATTAAGTTTGGAAATTGAGAATATATTTGATGCCGATACTTACGGAATGAAGCCTCGGAAATTAATTTTTTGTATAGATTAGATATGAAATCTGGCGATCTGACTTTTTAGACAAAATATAACAGTTCTTAACACACCTAGTGAGTTGTTACAGACGCTTAAATACCCTCCATTTGCATTAATAACCCTTTGTCCTTAACCCTTAATCCTTCCCCCTTTTCAATCACTCTCTATCCTACCCCATTTACTCCCCCTTTCTATCCCTTTCAATTACCATACTACATCCTATAATGTCATATGCCTGTTGAAATCTAAGACATTTTGTTCTAATGAAGAACTCCCTTAAACTCCTTTTAACTACAGTACTTAATCATAGTGCTACATGACCTTTGGTGTCAAGTACATTTTTTTTTGTATAAACGTTAACTATTGATAAGTTGTTATGATTCGAGTACTGATTTTTTTTTTCTTACCTGAAGATGCAAACAACTTTTTCTGATAACTAACTAAAATATATTTGAACAGGAAAGGAAATGAGAGAAAAAATTGAAAAAAAAATCACAAACCGAAAAATTACTAAATACTGAAATAACAAATGGGCAGATGAGAAAATATGTTTAAAGAAAAGTTACGTGTGTGTGTTTGTGTGTGTGAGAGCAAGCGAGTGTGTTTGCGTGTTTGTTCTCTATTTGTGTTTGTGTGTATATTGTTTTTGTTTTAAGTGCGTTTTCCTCATAGTGAAACTTATCAGAGGTAAACTGTTAACATAAATCTTATCATGCTCGGCGCAACCTCCCATAGTTTTATATAGATAATTTTCATATGTACGAGATTGAATAACTGCGTACACACATAGCATTAAATGTAGTGTGACAATGATCTCAACGATATTATCAATTAATATGGGAAATAATCGATGTAATATGATTGATATAGAGAGGCACAAAAAAAATAATTAATTCCAGAATACGGAAATACAAATAACATAATTATTTTAGCGAAGTTACACTGTTTGATTCAAAATAATTTTCGAATCCCTTAAATGTACAGAAATAGATTTGATACGTATCCCTACGCGAATGCAAGACCCGAAGACCTAAACTTGTGGGGCCTTTAATGCAGGGCGTCTTAGGGGCAGATGTGAAGGGGGCATTGGGCACGCGCCTCGGCTCACTCGCTCTCTCTTTCTTTCTTGCCCTCTATCTATCTATCTTTGTTATTCTGGCTATTTGTCTGTTTCTCTTTCTCTCTCTCTCTCTCTCTCTCTCTCTCTCTCTCTCTCTCTCTCTCTCTCTCTCTCTCTCTCTCTCTCTCTCTCTCTCTCTCTCGCTCTCTCTTTATCCATCTATCTGTCTGACTCGCTCACTCTCGGTCCATCTCTATCCATTTTCTCTTTATCTGTACATTTATCCATTCATCATCATCATCATTTCTAAATACGGAGCAACCTATACATTTGACTTTTACTTTTACGACCTAGGCTCTGACTTTTACGAATGAAAGTTGAAAGATGAAATTTTTGAAAAGGGACATTCGAGAGGCTGTTTGTACAGTATACTGGAGGAGATTATGACACATCAGACCGAGGGGCGTATTATTTATATATATCAATTTTTCATGACGCTTCTTTGCACACCTGTCGGGAGCGTTTATAGCGTGATGAGGATATATTTAAGCTGCTACTGCTACTACTACTACTGCTATTGCTGTTACTACTAGCACTGCTACTACTACTACTACTATTACTACTGCCACTATTGTTTTTACTACGACTACTACTGCTATTACTACTACTATTGCTGTTACTACTAGTACTGCTGCTACTACTACTACTACTATTACTACTGCCACTATTGTTTTTAACTACGACTACTACTGCTATTACTACCACCACTATTATCACTATTACTACTGCTACTATTGCTGTTACTGCTGCTACTACTACTGCTATTACTACTACTACTGCTGCTATTACTACTACTTCTACTACTATTACTACTATTATTACTATTACTACTGCTTCTATTGCTGTTACTGCTACTACTACTGCTACTATAGCACTTTTTGCATGTAAGTATTACTAATCACTAAACTACAGCTGCTGATAAGGGTTATTATCTACGGAGATAAAGAGGATCTGGCGACAATTCTTTGTCGAAATTTAGCTCGTATTAAAAAAAATGAATAACTGAAATACAGAATATATGAATAAACATGAATATATATATGAGTATATAGCAGCAATATGTCGGACTTTGTTTTATGACTGAGTTTATGTCATTCTCCTGCCACTGAAGAGAAGAAGGATATTTAAGAACAAAGGGGAGATAGGTATAATAAAATTTAATCAAATCCCGTCGCTTATCAAAAGACGGAAAAAAAAGGATATTAAAATATTACAAACGAAGCCCAATCATATGTTCAATAAAGGTGAAATGCATTATACTGTTATACCTAACTCCAGCCTGGACGCCTACATAACTATTTACTATTTTCAATGCTCGATTATTCCTGCAGTATTGCAATTTTGTATATTCATTGATTTGTATAATCAACTCTGACATAATTTTGTGGTTTTGTGTAATTGTCATTATCATTCTTAGTGTCACTGCTATAGGCTTGGGAAAATTTCTCATTAAAAATACATTCTTTTAGGACCGAGGACGCAGTTCCTTTGCGAAAAAAACATATCGGGTTGACACTAATTTTTAGGAATGAAAAATTATTTGCTTCAGTTTCCCTCGTGACTGACACGATCATAGTGTTGCCTCGGTTAAAAAAAAT